AATGGGATCACTGGATGTCGAGATATCGGGTTACAAAGTGACAAATATGAATCGGTCACTTTAGGACGGAATATCTCGACGTCTAGTGTTCCAATTTGAGCGAGAATACTATCATCCGACTTTTATAATCTAGGCAAATCAAATGGTGGTGTTTTCGCTCAAATCGGATCACTAGACGTCGAGATATTATGTCCTAAAGTGACCGATTCATTGTATTTGGGACATGAAAATTTATGAACCGACAAAGTATCAATAATCAGCATTTGTAATGTTCTTTGTGCTCGGAAATTTTGGTACATTACACATAATCTACGGAAAGTTATGGAGGGGTGGGTTACTTCTGACGAGCACTGTATGTGCGAATCTAACAATTTGGTGTTGAAATATTGCGCCAAAAAGTGTTTGGAAACTTTTTGTAGAGGTCTGTAATGAAATATATGACTAAATTTCTTTACCTTATGCCTTCGTCCTTGGAAATATCTCCATCATAGAACAAAATTCGATAAACTGGAATATTTCGTCCATCCAGTCTATTAAGAAATCTGGTTAATTTTTATAGACTGTGTCCAGTATCTCCAGTTTATCAAATATTCGGATCAACCCGAAACCGAACCGAAATTTCGGTTCGGTTTCGTTTTGGATCGAATCATTCGGAACACTAGTTCCGGATTTTGTTGATTTTGATTTACCATGTTGTTCTGAAATTAAACACTCCTTTTTGCTATAGGGGTGCTTATTTTCGGGTTATTTAGTTTCGGCTTGCTTATTAAATCTTTTTTCATGAGTTTGTTTGTTTCTAACGTTAATACATGTAATAACCGATAATCAACAAGTGTTGATTACTTGATTGCATTTGTGTAACGAACTATGCAAACTATGCATGGAAGAAATAAAGCGGTTATGGTGCATAACATCTAAAGTCATCAAATGTTTGTATTTTATAAAATGGATAAACTTCTTTACTAAGAAGTAAATACAAAATTTAAACCGTAAATATGATAGAATAGGCCCTTTCTGAGCATATTCACGGATTAAATTTTGTATTTACTTCTTAGTAAAGAAGTTTATCCATTTTATAAATACAAACGTTTGATGACTTTAGAAGTTGCGCACCATAGGTCACATAATTTATATTTAAAAATTGATATTTAATTTCGCAAAATGAAAAAATTTTAGCTGTCAATTAAAAATTATTTAATGGTATAATTAAAATCAAATTAATTATCGCATTATAAACTACATAAGTTAAGCTATCTAATCATAAATTTTATATATGATCAATATGTAAATTATTGAATTATGACTATTTAAAAATAAGGTAAATGATTGCAGAATTTTTTAGTGTCCAAAAACTTTTGGTAGGTGTGAGTATGTATTTTATTTTGATCATTATTTATTAGTATCGTTATTATCTAAATTAGGATAAATTTTATTATCGTTATTGCCTAAAAATTCAAAAATATGAAATGCAAATTCGTTTAAAATTAGCTCATAATGCAATGAAGCTTGAACACATTTATGTCTTCGATACGCAGTTGAAGAGAACTGCTTTGGAATTGTCATAGAATATTTTAAATATCACGAAATTATCTCATGTCCCGTAATTATTTGAAATTTATGTGGAATATATTTCTGAAGACGTAGTTATTAATTACGGATTATCTTCATATCGATATGGTGCGTAACATCTAAAGTCATCAAACATTTGTATTTTATAAAATGTATAAACTTCTTTACTAGGAATTAAATACAAAATTTAATCCGTGAATATGCTCAGAAAGGGCATATTCTATCATATTCACGGATTAAATTTTGTTTTTACGTCTTAGTAAAGAATTTTATACATTTTATAAAATACAAATGTTTGATGATATGTACCATAGCGATAGAATAAAATGGTTTGCTTTAATGAAATAATTAAAAATTTTACTCGTTTAATTTTTAAAAAACTAAATATTGATAAATTGATAATTTCAAACGAGAAAATATTCCAGATGCTGCAGCTTTTTTGAACCATTCAAATACTTTCGACCGTTTCCGTGGTGTTTGCCACGGATAGAGAAGTAATTTCTTTTTTTACTACATCTACTGATTTCGAAGAAGCCAATATTTCGTCTAAGCGTTTTTTCCGAAGATAAATGAAGTAGTAGGAATAGAAAAATTTATCAGCGGAATCAATGCTCCTTGTCAATAGTTTTATGCCAACTTACTTCCATCATGTTTGCATATGCAAGTGCTAATAGAATCTGAAAGCAAATGAATCATCTGTTGCGATAATTGATAGATTTTGAACAAACAAAAATTGTAGTCAGTAGTTTCTTTTTTTTCTTTAATCAATCATTTAATCTAATTGTTCACTCTAAATTTATGAACAAATCTGAAAATATTGATGTGTTTTAATTGAAGAAACTTATCATACAATGCTAAAAGCTCTTTCTTGAGAAAATCATTAACTCTAAAACTTTAATTTTTGAATATTCTCATTTAATATACTTACGTAGTTTATTATACAATAAATAAAAGTCGATTTAAACTCGCATTTTTTTCAGTTTGTATGATAAGAATTAACATTCCAGTGAAGATTTTAACTATACAAAAAAACGCAAATTCCTTAGCTTTTATTAATTCTCGTCTAACAGGTTACAATTAAAACAAAATTTTTTGACTCAAGCATCAAAATACGCAAATAATTCAACATTCTTTTACTTTTATAGGTCTTTTTTGTTAAATAAAGACCTGAAATCCGAATACGCTTATTTCCGAAACTACAATTATGCCAAATAATGAAATTTTAAGTTAGATAAAGCAATATTTGAGTCAATGCAAAACTGGACTATTGAAAAATGACACGTAACAAATTTTTACAAATTTCTTAGCATATAATTAATTGTATTTGCATACAATATACTCTTATGTGGAATTTGGTTATATGCTATATTCTAGAAATTTTGCAATGAATTAATTACTGGTTTAAGTTTAAGTATATATTCGGGGAGGAATATTCTCTTGCGAATGAATAATGTCAAAGATCTGAGTAGGATATAAAGCATCAGGAAAATATCATATGGAAGACTGATAATGGAAGTTCTGAACTATCTCAAAGGAGCTGTTTTGTATTTCGATACCGTTATTTTGTGAAACAGGACGAAATTCATCCGATTGAAGTAGGAATGGCTCTGCTTTCTTCGTTGATTTCTTCGTCGCTTGAATATCTATTTTCAATGTCAGGCATTTTTCAATCAAGAAAAACCGGTAAATTTCATTCTTATTTATCAAATACAAAGTTCAAATTGTCATTATCATTATACATTATGTCAATTTTATATGTTTTATCATATCGAGATTTCAGACCCACATTATAAAAAATAAATATCCGAAACATATTACGTATGCATGTATTTTTATCTTTCAAAAAATCACATGTACGTAATATCCATCCATTATCCATCAATTACATCAATTAAATGTGACAGATTAAAAATGAAATCCGGTGACCTTTTTGAATAATAATATAATAATTACATGTATAAAAAGAGTTATATAATTTGGGTCGTTTTTTGGTGACAATTATGAAAAAGGGTTAAGTATAAAGTATAGTATTAAATTTTGTCATTGATTATATCGATATTCTACCGCTACTAGATTTCATTTTAATCTGCCAATAATTTGCTCATGTGCCCACATGAGTGTAAGAAAATCGCGTTGAACAAATCAACATCTTGAGAATTAGAGCTGTGTGGGTTACATCAAAATAAAAAATGATCAGTTAGCATTTGATATCGATATGTATACAATTGCAACGAGTCTTTTTCAGGAAAGATTTGCAAGATCGATCGCGTTCAGCGGGAATTTTCATAAAAACAAGAGACGCGTGTTTTTCAGAACCGTATGTTCTGCACGAAACAATTGGATTTTTGTCAAAAACACATTTTGGCATGACATGATTAGATAACGCTGATTACGTACGTAGTATGTTACAAATGTAATCCTTTTTTTCCTGTGAGACAAATAAAAATGGATGGCCTTTCGGAAAAAAAGTTATTTCGGTCTAGATCATAATGTTTCATGATATTGCTTCTTAATTAACATGAACATATTGTCTATTTAAGAGTTCCTGTACCATACCGATACGTACATTACAGTAATTGTTCCAATATTCACCAATTGAAAAAATCGTAGCAATAATGAACTTTATGTTATTGTAAAAAATAAACAGCTTTTTTATTCATCATTAAATTTGGGTCTAGTCGTTTCTTAAAGTTTCACACTCTCTAACCAATAAAAGAAATCTTGCCTCTCTGATTAGTTGCTTTCCCTTCTCTTTAGATTCTCTTGTTCTTAAAGCAAACATACAATGATGTCATGTTAGAATAGGTTCGTCGGGAGAATTTACAAATAACCTGTTAGATAAGCGTGAGATTTCAAGTAAACATGTATTTATGAATCTATTTATTAATAATTTGTAAGAAATTCGTATTACTTGGATTGATTAAAAACAACGCTACTACTTACTGCTGACAAATAAGGCAAAAATTCTCGGATGGTTTCAAAAAATTTGATTAGAATAGATTTTTTGGTTCAAATTAAAATTGGTGTAAATGATGAAATTATCAAAAGCATGCCACACAGGAATATAGCGTTTTGTTAATTACGGATAATTGTCAGGGTCTGGAAATAAGTGAAGGGTGACACACCAAAAATGAAATTAGAGATAGTATACTTGTAGTAGCGCGGATTTTTGCCGACTTCTCGTGATGCATTCGAAATTTGCTTTTGCAGGATAAAATTGTCTTACATTCAATTTTTGAATAAACAAATCGACACTAATAAACTTTCGAGATTTTTTTGTGTTATTTAAATCGCCACTAATAAAATTTCGAGATTTTTTTGTGTAAGGTTTAACTTGATTTTCGAATGGATAGACGCAAATAAACATAAAAACTCGTAAAATGGTAAAAAGCTCATGTCAGAAAAAAATTCTAAATGCTAAAAAATAGTTATTAAACTTTAGACAAGCCCAAAATCCACACTACTAAAAACATGTTTTCCCAGTTCAGTATCCATGAGCCAATTACAACTTCATCAACACCAAATGATTTTGTTAAGAATATAGATGACGAGCTTCGGTTCTTCAATGCTAGTGCTTCCCGTTGAAGATTATTATTAAATCCTCCATATGAATTAACGTTGAAAATATCAAATCTCGTATTACCATTTCCAAATACGCAAAAATTGGTTCCACCACCAAGACCATCAAACGCATTTATGATTTCTCGTCGTGACTTGGTGGCCAAATTAAAAAGCATGATGGATAAGCTATGGGAAGCATTGCCATGTAATTCAATTATTTCTAAAGTCGCTAGAAGGCTTTAGGATGAAGAATCTAAAGAAGTACGAAATTTTTTCTATATTTTGGTCGATATTGCTATGGAAGAACATTTAGAAATTTACTCTGGTTATCGATTTAACCCGAAAAGTCGTCAAGGGGACAAAGCACAAAATAATGCTTCTAAGCATGCAGCAGCGCCACCACCATCATCACAACCTATTTTGTCAAATATCCCAATGACATCAGATATACCTTCTTCGTCTGAAAGTGAAATAGATATGCCTTTGACACCTATGGAATCTCATACAATCTATGAATATCATGGTAGTTCTATTTGTTCAAGATCATCAAGTTCAGCTGAGAAAATTCCGGCTGAAATAAGGAAGTATATATCCTCGTTTTGCGGGTAATAACATTTATGGTGCCGAATTTAAAACACGAATTATTCATAAAAATGCTTTAATTGTGGAAATTTTAGGACTAATTTTGCATGGTGTCAATATTGTGAAACTACTTGGTTCAAGGAAAAATATTCAAGCTGTACCACTGGTAATTTGCAACTTGATTTAATTATACAAAAAAGTCAAGCAGAAGCAAGTATAAACGGCGATTATATTGAATATATTCCTTACGATCAATTTGAACTGATTAAATTCCACAAAGCAGGAGCATTTAGTGAAAGCTATTCTGCTATTTGGTTGAAGGGACCTCAGTGGAATTGGAACGAAAACACACAAGCTTGGTCACGGGGTGGACCAATAAAGGTTGCGCTGAAAAAACTTATAAATACTCAAAACTTGAACAAACAATTCTTCGAAAACGTAAATTTTATTTCTCATTTGATAAAAACAAATTTTAAGAATTATTAACAAAATGTTTCCTTTTTATATTAGTTGCGAAAATATCATCGTTGTCTTCAATCAGGTAGTGTAGCTGATACCTTTGGTATTTCAAAAGCTCCAGACGGATTTTTTGTATTTGTAATGAGATTCTATGAAAATGGCAATTTAAATCAATACATTAAAAATGTTAAAGAGATTAGTTGGAAAGATAAAATCGATTTACTATGGGGGATTACTGCTGGTTTGGAAAACATTCATCGATCTAATATCTATCATGGAAATTTACATGGTGGAAATATAATGATCGAAGATGAATCAATCTCGACTGATGGAAGAATAGCTGATATAGGAATTCATGGAGTTGATATCCCATATAATAATAATAAATTATATGGTGTTATGCCGTATATTGCACCAGATACTCTTCTTGGAGAGGGTCGGTCAAAAGAGGCTGATATTTATAGTTTCGGCGTTATTATGTGGTCACTTGCAGCCGAACAAAAGCCATTTGTTGAGAGAGCGCATGACATCGTATTAGCAACGGATATTTGTAATGGAGTCAGACCAAAAGAAATTGAAAACACTCCAAAATGTTTTTCTGATTTGATGAAAAGATGTTGGGCATTTGATCCAAAACAAAGACCAACAGCAATTGAGTTGAATGAAATCTTTAGCGATCGGATAACAGATATATGTGCCAATCCAGTACCAACTGGGATCAGTGAGGAGTTTAGTGTCGCTGAAGAAAGAAGATGTGAAAGTTTTCAAATACAGAAAAACACACCACAAGAAATTCAAAATAAGAATGCATTTTATACAAGCCGATTTTTTGATTTTTCAGAGCTTTGAGAAAAATTAATAAGGATAAAGATAATATTTCTTTTTTATGTTTATCACTCATGTAAAAGTCTGTTTGATTTTTATTGAGATAGGTTTTTTCGTTTAATTTTTTATTCGTTTCTCGTCAATTTACATTCTTCGTCATATATTTCGTTTTGTTTCTGTTCTCGCGTTCATTTTTTAGTACTGTTCTGAATTCTGCTCTCTTTTTCTTTTCAACCTCTCGACAATTTCTTCTTTATGAATCTTAAGTTTATTTTAAAAGTACTTATTGTTATATGTAGAATGGTTAAGCTATAAACACACTAAGTTTAGAAAATACATATTCATTACATCCTATATATGAAACATGGTATTGGAGATATTCATTTGAAGGTTTGTTGATATAGTTGGGCGCCTAAACTGGTGACACTTAATTGTCACTGGTTTCGACTATAGAGTTGTAAAAACTGTATAATCTTAAACTATAACCTAAACCGTGTATCACATGATTTAGGCGTCCAACAATTGAGCGGAGTGAATTGGGTTCATATTATAGTGGAGCAAGAAGTAAATCAATTGAACCTGCCCCGGGTTCATTGTTTCGGGTTTTGCTCCAATACTGCGCCAGATACTTCGGAGTATTTATAAAGTCACATGTAATTAATTTGATTGGAGAAAGCTATACAAGTTTCATACTCTATTTCAAAAATAAAATTATGATTCAAAAAAAGCAAGCTTCATATTTGATATTTTAAAAATAAAAAATATGATAAAAATAAATTAGGAACAATAATCATGAATTTATTTACCCACATCTGTTCGTTGTCTTTTCATAACGAAACTAACACCAACACTAACAATATCCAAATATTATATTTCCGAATCTGTTTTCATTACCTTGGAGAATCAGTGATTCGCGTCAGGAATATTCTAAATCACCAGAATCATTAATTCATTTGACTTAACAAAAAACAAATTAATTTTTTTACTGGACTTTTAATCCCGAAATTATTTCATTGAATGGAACATTCTAACTCCGGAGCGGAGTGAAATTTAATAATCCGGAGTATGCTGCTCCATTAACAACCCTATTCATTTGCGTTTGATATCGATATCGATCGCTATCTATCACTATAGATTAAGCCAAATTACCAAAGCAAATGATACAAATAGTATTTTTATATCGATACACAGTATTATTCTCGAAGGATTTAATGATAACTCTCTATAATAATAAATAATCTATGTTTTGATTTTTTAGTTTTAAGCATTATAATTTATTTACGTAATCATACGACATGTATTTTTTAAAAATTTAGTTTTTTTTATAATTCTAAATAAAAGATTATCGTTATGTTTGTAGAACAGATTTTCAAAACATAGTTACATGTACGTATAAAGAGCAAGTACGTAAATACATGTACGAAGAGAATACGCACGTATAATCTTTTTCACAAGAAATTGATCAATTAGACGTATCGGTATGATTATACTTATCATTATCATTATGACTAGATGAAACAAATGCCAAAATTATCAAAAAAATGACATTATATAAATAAAGTACTTGAAACTATGAATATTAAGCAACAATAATTAAAAAGTGTCGGGTCATGTGATGATAAAACAATACAACCAATAAGGATGCGCAAAAGAATCTGTCCAAAAGTTCGAGCCACGTGATAATTCTTTGATGACGTTAATGATGCGAAAGGGTTAGGGTTTTGATTAGTTGAATTCGTAGAAATACTACGTGGTATAGAAGCAATCGAAGTATTGTCATCAGATTGAGATTCTGATCAATATCAGTTACTTTTGGCATTAGTATCACTATCAGAGTTATTAAACTTGAAACAAATGCCAACCATTTTTGTTGAATGACACAAGTGAAAATCATGATTTTCCAATTGCATGTTTTCATGTACACGATTTATGCATTATCGTTATCATTATCGTTATCGTTATTGATCGATTTGTCTTTAAAATCGATTCTCAAATTTTAATTGATTAAATTTTAATCGATTAATCGATTCTACAAAATTAATTGATTCTCAGAATCGATTCCTATCCCTAGTCCACCCGACACGAACCTTCTTTGTCGTGAAGCCAGAATGCCGATTGAACTCCAATATCCAACTTCACAAGAACTCGACCTTGATCATCAAACATTGAATCACATTTTTGCAGTGATACACCAACTACCAATGACAATAGAAACGGCCAGAGAACGAGCTGTCAAAAATCAGAAAAAACGTCATAATCGACGAATAAAGACAACACTATTCGAAATTGGTGATAAAGTGCTAATCTACAACACGCACTGTATGGTGACAAGTTTAAACCGCAATGGAGCCTTGAGTGGTACTACATCCACGAGGCATACGGAAACAACGCTTACAGATTATCAACAGGATTTGTTATTAAAGAAACCCTTCAATGGAGTCATTGAAATAAGCCACATGTTGCTCTTAAAGGAACTCGATCACCTCAACACGACCATGCCAATCACGAAACTCAACTACATGGTTATATATATACCGGCGTTTTCGAAATAAACGCTCAACACTAAAAAAATGAGCATCCAACACTACCACCAAATATCATCACTTCTCTTCTTCAGCTACAACTTGAACTCGGCTGCTGCCAGTTCGAAGGGACCATCTCCGTCAGCCAAATACAAATAACGGTCACCAACGATACCAATATACTCTTCTGGAATTATTCGGATTAAGCGGTAATAATCCCGAAGTATTGTTTTGAAACAACATTCCCATCAGACGATTTCGCTACTTTCCCACAATATCAAATGTTTCTGACAAACGCCGTGATATTATAACTGAGCTTAATCAACCTCCGATTGAAAGATTTCACCGGAGCCTTGCTATTGCCAATTTGCTGATGACCAGGATCGGAAATCATAAAGCCAACAAGTCCTGACTGACATTGTGCAGCGAAAAGAGGAGAACCATATAAAATTAACATGCTATTATCACCTTGGCTCCTTAATATCAATAATGCCACTGATATTTAAACGCCAGATTGCGTCTCTAAAGAAAGAGTTGGTCCGAGTTTGTAAAACTCCGTCAGTCGGTCTATTTCAAACCGCGTTTATCAAATCTTTCGCCAGAAAGGTTTACAACGGCTAGATTGGCACTTGAAATTAATCCCAACCCAAATCTGTATGCTCAGCAAATATTATGCTTCCGCGAGCTTAAACAATGTCTAAATCTATGTGTTCTTACGGAGTAAAAACTTCTTTTTTTCTTTTTTATTTACGTCAATCACTTCTAATAAAAATTTACACCGCAAATTACACTGAAAATTACACTGTAAATTACACTGGAATTTGTTCAATGATTTCTTCCTGTAATATGCAAACAAAAATGTATATATGAGCGCGAGAAAGAGCAATTAAAGAAGAGAATTTGCAATAAAGGCTTAAAAAATATAATCATTTGCTTGTATACAATAAGTTCTTATCCTAATAATAATTCATTGTTGTAGAGTAGGTTTGCCAATTTTAATCCAGAAAAAGTGAGACGATTACGATTTAAAGGGTTTGCCACTTTTGATCCAGAAAAAGTGAGATAATTGTTTTAACAACCGTAACGATTGCGATTGGAAAAGTTTATGCTTTTGGTCCAGAAAAACTGGTTGTGTTATTAACGCTTGTAAATACGTAGATGAAAATTGAATACAACAATATCCTAAGGTATTTGGCACGACTCTAGAAAAATTAATAAATACTATACAGAGTGCTTTACGGTATTATGTAAAAGTACCCTAGCCACGGCGAAAAAAAGTGTCAGATCACGTGCTGCTGGCGGCACAAACCAATGAAAATACGTAAATTTTTTATCAGTCCGGCAAAACAAATCCGGCACAAGAAAATAAAAAAGCAAAAAATACGGAAAACAAATTCCTAAATCTAGCTTGATACACTGAAAAAATGTCGGGAAGATAATTTTACATATAATCTTGACTCCAGATCTAACCCTAACCTTTAAATTAACCTTTAACAATAATCTTTATTACCGTAGAATTTTTCCGGACATACACAAAAATCACATAATCTGACACTTTTTTTCGCCGTGACAGGGTTCTATTTGTGTAACGGTAATGGTCACAAACATCACAAGTGGCAGATCATTGTGTCTTTTATAGGCTAGTTGATAATCTACTTACATATATGTACATGTATACGTTAATCATCAAACTTCTCTCTAAATCGTAAATTCCCTTACACAAACGTTATGAAATCATTTTTTTTACATATCCATCCCGAAGGTCCAAAGCTTAAACTTACGGCCACTGCAAAGTACATCAGTTGTGCTAAAGGTACAGTATTTAACATAATCAAAAATGGAATAAACATAAGATTTAAATAATGAACCAAAATCGGGTCAGAAACTAATTACAACTCTAAACCAAGATAAAAAAATAAGCAGCTTGCAAAAAAAGTAACTTCCACTGAAATACAACATAAAATGAAAAACTACAACGTTAACGTTAGTGTGGATAGTATTCAGCGACGTCTGCACGAAGCTGTGGCTAAATATACAAATCAGCTTTCCAAACCTCTACTTACTAACAAGCATCAAAAAACAACTATTGTGGGCGAACAAGCATAAGAACTTTGACTGAGATCGAGTAATTTTTTTAGACGAGTGTACCTTTCACCTAAATCAGCGAGAAAGAAAGGTGTGGATGTGTTCTGATAGGAAAAACGTGTTCCATTCTGTGAAGCATCCATTAAAATTCATTGTTTTTCGACTTCGGGCTTCGGTAAGTTGATTTGCTTCCAGAGGAATCTAAATGCTGATTTTATGGTTACACTATAGGGATGGTCTTCTTCCTTCGTTGAGATACGTATTAATCTTGTTGAAAATTTTTTACTTATTATCGCTACTAGGCACTATCGCTATGGAGGAACACTTGCTTTAAAGCTCTCGTGTGTGTAGTCAATAGCATTGGAGAACTCTGTTGGCGTAATTTTTGGAGCAGAAAGTCATTTTTATACAGTTTTCTAAAAATTAAATATTGGTTTATTATTAATTTATCGTTATCATAGTAATTTAAATTTATGAATTTAACCAATTTTTTCGCCAAAGGTAACTTTGACTCAGTTGGTTTGAACGCTGCCTATGGTGTCTTTCTGGGTAACACAAGTGTCGCGTGCTCGAATCCGAGTGCTGCCTATGATACTTCCAGAAATTGATGTCGCGTGGGCAAACCCTGTTTTATCCTTTAAAGGGATAAATTTATTTTATTTCAGATTGTAATTTCATTCTATATACATGTATTTTTTTTATAGTAACCTCATTGTTTTCCACATCTTTGACGCTAACGCTAACAATAATCCAACTTTTTATGGTTTTATCTTAAAGCTTTTTGTATTTTGTCAACTTGGTGCTTTTACAAGTCAAAAACAGTAAGCAGCAAATATTTTACAAGCATGAAAACGAAGTAACACTAATTTATTTTTGATTATTGTATTTAGTTTTTAAGTTCGTTTGGTCTTGCCGCTGGGATATATATCCGTCATCTCACAATTTGATTATACATGTACAAAGGAATGATATCATTTAATTAAATTAGTCAAATCATGTGAAATACTAACTTTGAATAAAAAATTAGTCGTAATGCTAAGGTTTAACATGATGAACACATAAAATTAAAAATTTTTGTGAGACTCTATTCTAGATACATGTACATGTACATGTACGTACATGTAATTTCAAAGTTTACGCATTAGCTCACAAGAGATATCATGCAAAACATAAAACGCGCATATTAAATATTTTCATTTTACGTGATATCTTGTGAACTAACATTCAAAATTTTTTGAAATATTGAAATATTTAGAATAAAAGTAAACAAATGTTTTTTATTAATAGTATTCAATGCATTAATACTAAAGCTCTGTTCGGGTCGGGTTTGACCCGAAAATCGTAAAATAGTTTTTTGTTAATAACGTTTACTTTACTAAGATACTTGTATTTTGTGTCCTAAGTAGAGTTGTTTGGAATGTAATTGTGTATATATACAACTTTTCGTTTAATTCTAATTAATATTGAACGAGAAACAACGATTTTTTAGGCTGACCCGAAATGTGCGTTCCGGGTCGGGTCACGGATTGGACCCGACCCGGTTGGAGCACTAATTAATACTTAGTATTGTGACCAATTTCTCGTTCAAATTTTACGAACGATCTTTAGAAGCTCGTAAAATACTCATTTGCATCCGAAATCGCATTAAACATTTTCAACAAGTTTAATTATTACGTGAATAAAGATTGTATTAATAAAAATGGACTTTTCATGGTCCAAAAATATATTTTATTATATTATCGTTTCGGGTTGGTTTTCGGGCCCAAACCGGATCTGGGTAAAGGTTAATTGACAAACAAAAAATGTACTTACAGTAAAATTTCGCGAGGAACATTTTTTATTAGAACACTAAAGATAGTTTCATAGACTATATTTTGAAATACAAGCTTTTTTTAAAAAATATGTCAATTTTGAATTTTTGTGTTACACGTTGATCTTGCAATTTAATTGGTCATCATCGCTATTTCAGTAAATTGAGTATTGAGCCTTAATTCTGCTTTATTCCACTCTTTTCTTTCAAAATCAACAAATTCATACCAAATTCCTCTGACATCATCAAAAAATTATCACGTGCCCGAACTTTTGTGGGTCGTCCTGGTAGATTCTGCGCAACCAATAGGAATGTAGCAAATTTTTGATCAACCCAACAAAACAAATCCGGTACAAGAAAATGAGAAAAGACAAAAAATGCGAAAATATAAAAAACAGATGTCTAAATCTAGCTTGGCGCACTATCAAAAAATGTTGGAAAGACAATTTTATATATAATATTGATCTCAGCTCTAACCCTAACTTTAATACTTGATATCTAATATTAATCGGATATTTTAATGGACTTATTTCAGAGCACGTACACCATACATTTTATTCACCATGACTAATCGCCGAACATCGATCCCCAGAACAGATCTGACAGTGATTCTTGATCCATTTTTGCTGGACATAAGGGTACCCGTTTTTTTTCACTTCAAAATTTTATTTTAATTTTTTGCTTTTGATCTCACTTTTGTTTCCTATTTTTTTTTTTGATCTTAAATTCCTTTGCAATAAATTCTAGAACGATACTTTACGATGTATATATAGTCCTCGTGGATGTTAATAAAATTCAGAATTAAATTGTGTACAATTCTTCTCCAAGTAGAATTAGACTTGTAAAATTGTTGTAATTGATTGTGGTTAGGTTCTTTGATCCAGAAAAAACATTGTTATTGATAAAACGGCATATTGATTGATTGAAAAGCGCTTTGTGTTGAATAGTTAAGGCTTTTAGCTAGAAAAAGCAACAATTGAATAGGTTATAGCTTTTGGCTAGAAAAAGCAACGATGAACCCGTCACGTTGGGGTATTTGGTGGACTATGCAGATCAAATTTATGTACGTATCGAAAATGATTAGACCAAATTTTTGTGTAACATATATAATACGTATGTATATGACAATTTATATGAAATACATATATTTTTTAACAAAAATTTAATAACTAGTTTTTAAAAAAGCTCTATTACTTTAAAATATTGAATCTATTAAATAGTTGAGCAAAATTTCTAATCAAGTTAATATGTAAATTATTGAGGAGATACAATTTGAAATATGGAAATTTTATATAAAAAGACTATGAAAAATTGGCATATCTCATCAATACTATATTTAATGTAATAGAGAGCTTTTTTAAAAATTATTAATGAAAGTTAAATTATAGTTAAAAATATATGTTACACGAAAATTTGGTCTAATTATTTTTGATGAAATTACGTATACATAGTAAATATAAAACCCTCTACCGCTACCATCATATCCGTAGATATCGGCATAGGGACTAGAAACAAACGAACACCACTCAGTCTATTCACCAATTGTTGCAGGTAAAATCGTCGATTACGCCTATTTGCACAGTGTGAATACAATTGGTAAAATAAATTGTACACAGTTGATTTCAAAAAGGGATTTAAAGTAAAATAAAGAAAAAGAAAGAGTAATGTTATTGTCAATATGTGTTTATCGATTAATATTTATTATTACAATATTTGTTTTATTTGTATTGAATGAATTATCTTTAAAGATGAAAATAAACGTATTTCCGATTTTTTTTATTCTAATTAATCTACTTATTTGTCATTTACAATGCTCAACAGAGTTCCAAGCATCAATTCGGTGTCGGAAGAATGTGATGGCAATAATGTCATAGTGATCATCTTACATGTCTATGAGTTTACCTTATAAAGGCAGCTTTTAGTATTTTCATTGTCGTCATTTACGTTTCATTGTATTGCTTCTTATTTTCATCATCGCTATTATTGCATTGCTTCCATATCATTTATCTATATCGTGCTTTTATTGCAAGTGTATACTCTGACACAAATTTTTCTTATAAAAAGAAGTGCTCGTTGTTCTCTTCTAAATCTTCACTCTTTTCGAATTAATAAACAAAAATTCCAAACTCAAAACATGGCTACCTTTAAAAAACTTGTTTGGATTGTTTTGATCATGATAATCTGTCTCTTTGCTTTATCTGACGCGATACCCGCTCCCTCTTCATCCTTTCAACCGAATGGCAACGTCGGGTATTTCGGTGCCGACACCGGCATAGGCCCCAGCGAAGACAACAAAAAGTATGGCCGTTACTGTCGATCTCTATGTCATCCTCTCGGAGTCAGTAGTAGGGGTTTTTATTGTAAGGCGTGCTGGTGTCCTAATGGTAATGTGTGTGATGATGAGCCACCACCAAAATTAAGTTACATTCCAGGACTGAAATAAAATTGATAATCTTTGAAAGCCACCAATCTATAGTTAAGAAAATAAAAAAATATTATCCATTCCTGACTTAAAAATACCCTGTTTTCATATGATCGATAATTAATGGGACATGCAAATAAAAAACGTGACTTGTATCGACCAATCAAATTACATCAAGTTATCTTCAACCAATCAAATCACATTATATTATCTTTGATTTTATTGGCTGTTGTGACAAAAAGAATAATACTAATACGTACTTTTTTAATCCAATTTAAAATTTGGGTTTCAAGTCATGTGCTTTCAGTTTTTAAGTGTTATGCACTGATAAATTTTCACTGGTTCTTGTCGTTATGCGGATCACCAATTAAATGTCGACTTTTGAATTATAAACACAGTTTTATTGTATTATTTAAATTTTTAGTGACATTGATGTAGTGGTTATGGTGCATACCATCTAAAGTCATCAAATGTTTGTATTTTATAAAATGGATAAACTTCTTTACTAAGAAGTAAATACGAAATTTAATCCGTAAATATGCTCAGAAAGGGTCTATTCTATCATATTTACGGATTAAATTTTGTATTTACTTCTTAGTAAAGAAGTTTATCCATTTTATAAATACAAATGTTTGATGACTTTAGATTTTATGCACCATATTTACGGATTAAATTTTGTATTTACTTCCTAATAAGGAAGTTTGTACATTTTATAAATACAAACATTTGATGACTTTAGATGGTATGCACCATATAATAAAGAATAATCGATCCATTCAAAAGTTATTTAATTAACCATTTTTACGATGAATTTAATTTAATAATAGTCAAGTTTCAAAAATCAAACTACCGTTAAAAGAGCAGTTGGGATGCTTTGATCTGTTCCTTCGCCGCCGTACAAACTTGATTTATTTAAATTGGTTATAACGTAAATTGCTGTATACATGTGAAATGAATAACTAACTTGATTGGTATGCTTAAAGTCTAATTAATTTAAATTAAATGTGAACTAGGAATTTTTCTCTTTATACTAATGACTCTATATTATATTCAAATGAACTTATGTTATTAGAAAATAATTTCTTTTTTTTGGTGGAGCTAATACTGAATTCACCAAAATCAAAGGCGTATAAACAGATACCGGTGCTGAACGTGGTAATACTAATGTTATCATTATAAACATTAGTTCGAAGTTTCAGTAACAAATTTATGAATTAATTATATACAGTGTATATAAGGAAGTACTCCGCAAATTTTTTGATCAGATTTTTCTATATCTGCCAGCAAGTCTAAAATCAGCAATTTGAGCGCAATTACCAATAATTCTATTATGTACTAATATATTTCCAGACAGAGTGAAAATCACGATGCAAAATTCCTCATTGTGAATCATATTCAACACTTTAATGTTTTCAAATAAATGACTTAATTTTTGTTCCCAATTCAATTTTTGGTGGGAGAAATTCATATATTTGCGTCTTTTGCATAATTCATCACTATCGAGTATTCATTTGTAGCAATGTTTTTAGTTTAGTTGTTCCGTAATAAGTTATCCGAAGAGTGCACTTTAGAGCAGCTGGATCGAATTATAAAAATGTTAATTAGATTGAAAAACAAAAAAGCGATATGCTTACACCTTAAAAGGTGTTCATTTACCTCGTTTATAAATTCGGATGTAAGTTGCTTTGAATTGTGTAATAATTTCAACATAACTTCCCGTTCTCCCCATCGCATAAATTTATTTCTACATGATCCCATCTCCCATATATATAAAATGGTCTGTTCAACCAGGCAGGTTGCTTTATAAATTGATCCAAAACCTCTTTTTGCAAGATATTCAACATTGGTAATCTTTCAAAAGGGATACATTCGAAATTTTAATTGTTACGGTTATTAATATTATTGCATTCATTTATTAGACTGTCGATATCTTTGTTTCCACTAGACAATTCAATATAAATTCGTTTGTGATATTGATAACATCCAGAACAGTGCACATTTTCTTGACAATTGGTACATTTACTACAATCATGTGTATTGTGAACTGAACACTCATCGCAGTAAACCAGTCGTGTACAATCCCAACAGTTATTATTACAATTATGAATATTGTGAACTGAACACGCTTTGCAGTAGTAATCCTCCTGACAATATACATCTACTACAATCATGAGTTTTAGATGCCATCTTTGAGTTTATTAGTGATCATGGCAGTGTTTTTTTAAAAAACGATGATTTATTTACGTATATGTGTGAAAGTCGTCGTTTGTATCGATTTATGCATAAAAAATGACACGTACACCCAACAACATTAAACGAGGAGAGACAGTACGCATAAAAAAGAAGGCTCTTATAACTTTTATTGTAATATGTATTTAGTGATAAGAATAGTAATTATATTATCGTTATTACCAATTGTTTTGAGATGCTATCTTTGAATTTATTTTATTAGCGTAACTTGCGGCGAACCAATCAGAAGTTCGACATTATCATAATTTTGATTTTACCATCAATTTTTCCACGACCTTGTGTTGGTTAATGCATAATGCGAATTGGTAACGTTAATTAATTCTAGAATATATATGACTGCTGAGTATCGACAAGTGTCAGTGTGTGTGCATGTTCCGGATGATAACAAATGAAGGTAAATCCTGATATTGCTAAATTAGAGATCATGACTCTAGAAGTAATCATTGAATTAATATCAGTATTAATAGTGCTGCTGCTGCTGCTACACTTTAATTGTGAATTTTAAAAGTTCATAAACTCATTTTTAATAAACTATTTAACTTTACACGAAATATACTAGACGAAAAAATTTATCTGGCACTTGTGCAAGATAGGATTGTCGATTTCTCAATGATCCAAGGAAGTACTCCGCAAATTTTTGATAAGATTTTTCTGCTGGTTTGGTAAGTCGAAAATCAGCAATTTGAGGAAGATTGTATAATATATTTCCAGAGTGAAAGTCATGATGTGCAAATTCCTTTGTGAATTTATTTAGTCTAATAAAATAGTACTTAAATGCCCTCATTTCGCTTCCCAATTCAATTATTCGTACTTGGAATTCATATACAGAACGTACATGTATTTGCGTAGATCGACATCTTTGTAACGTTATTGTTACGTATTATCTACGTAATATAGCCATTCCCGCATTTTAGAGCAGCCTGAATCTAATTTTGTAAAAGTTAATTAAAAAACAAAAAAGCGATATGCTTACACTTTAAAAGGTGTTCATTTTACCTCGCTTATAAACTCGGATTGAATTGTGTAATGATTTCAACACAACTTCGCGTTTGTCAGATCGTTTTCTTCATCGTATTGCTTTATAAATTATCCAAACCTCTTTTTGCAAGATACTTTGTCTCATCAGTGTCTGTCTTCTGGTTAGATCGTTATTCTGCAATGCAACCGGTTCTCCTGCCTCTGGAGCTATAAGTTGCTTGAAAATTTATATTTAGCTTCATATAGATGACATTGAGTTTGCTTATGATTGCGTATACCAATGTAATTCGAGTGTTTTTTTTATTATAACGGGATATTTCACGGTTTAATTTTCTGGCGATTCTAGATTTTTTGATTCGAACGTCATTTGCGTATAACACGGACGAGGTTAAACCCGAGAATTTTGAATTTGATATATTTGAAAGTATTCTTGATATTATTCGTCGTAGTATTCGTAATAGGTAATTTCGACGTATCTAGCACTTCGTTATTTTTCACAATTACAGAAAGGATTGTTGTCACGTTGAAAGAATCTTATTTCATTTGTGGCATGTAAATTGTTTTCAAAGAACAAAACGATTTCGAAATAAAAGAAAACAAAAGCAAATCATTAAGTCAAAATGTATCACACTAAATCATTTAAAACACGACCTAAAAAAATACAACAAACAAAGCAACAATCAGAACCAGTTCTTACGACTGAAAGTGGAGAAGAATTTACAAGTGATTCCTTGAGTCAAGTATCTAATGAAATTGTGACTCCGCTTTCTCAACTACTTTGTCTTTCACCTATTCCCGTGAGTTCCGAATTTGTGAACTTTGAAAAACCGTTCAGTTTAAACTGAACCGTCCGGGTCCAAAAGCGAACCAGTTCTAAAATAATTAGTCAACGTTCTAGCTAATGCTTTGGTCATTTTACGCTATACTGTATGTGCTTTTATATGTCGTGGTAGTGTTTCGGACGAAACTAGTTTCGTCCAATTTGACCTATAAAGTGCTTTCAAATAGGGTTTCAGATAATTTCGGACTTATATGGGCGAAACTGAGCAAAACGTTTCAGATTTTGCAAATAGTTTTGCTCGAAACACTATGTAGTTGTTGGCTTTGTTGATAGAGTAAAAGTCAAAAAATATTCCTACGTGTATTCATGCATAATTTTAATTTATCAAATTACATGTATAATGACTTGATTTTTCGGCCTTTACTTTTTTGTTCTTTTCTTTTTCCTTTCATACAACAAAGGGACATGTAACAGAGAAACATATGTCAAGCAACAAACAACCAATATACCTACGTGTAATTTACGTAATTTATTAAATATATTTTTTCACAATGGCATCCACATTCAATAATTATGTATCGGTATGTTGAAGATTTACGGTAACGGTAACGATGGGAATTATTGGGATCAGCTGATATGTGCTACAGTGCATACAACTTAGTCCCAACCAAAAAGTTTTAAGTGACCAAATTTTAAATGTTAATCTTATATTAATTTGATAATTTTATTAATAAATATATAATAAAAAAATTATTTGTATTAATTTTACATAAGAGTGACCAACTTTTTAATTTAATAATAAAATTATTTTTACTATTATATTAAAAATTATTATATATAAAAAAATCTGAAGGTATAGTTCTGCTTAACTCAAGTTGTTCTATCATTTTACAATTAAATTTGATATTTATTGCTTTTTTGGATGAGAAGTAGTAATTTTAAATTTTATTAAAATTTACTAGTTGAAGCTAAGTTGTATATACTGTAGTCTGTTAACAAATTTCTTATCATTAATATTATCCTTCATTATCCATCTATTATTAATTTTAAGAAAACATAAAGCAAAATAATGGATTAAAAATTAAGTTCAAATTGACTTCTATATTTGAAATATATTTAATAATTAGTTAAATTTTTTATAACAACCAAATATCTTTTGTAATTTGATTTAGCAAAATTCTGGCTGGAATTTTTATCAACAAAAAAAACACTAAATACTTATTAACAATATTATTAACATAAATTAAATTGGAAACTGATTACAGTCTGGAGAAATTCATAAAATCAGTAAAATGAAAATAGTAATCAAACTTTCAATAACTAATAGTTTTGTATTTAAAAGAAATATAAGCATCCAAAGTTGACTAATTTTTCTTGATATTTTTCTGAGATTGCTAATATTAACTAGAATTAGCAAGAGTTTACCAGATATTTGTTTCTTCATATTAGTTTCATTATAACTGAATTCAATATGTTTTTATTGAAATTTCAGATAAAATAGGAGTTTTTTGAATGGATATAATCTTGAAAACTTGATTTTAATAATATAAATAATAATTAAATAAAATTTTTAAATTGATTAGTTATTTTTTTGTTAATCAAAAATATTGTAAAATTGCTCACAAACTTTATGATTAGTGAATTTATTCACTGATGAGCCAATACTAGTATTTTTATTGGCTATTATCACATAAATTTATCTTATTATAGTTATCTTTTGATCAAAATTATTCAACTATATAATCATTACTTATTATGTGAATTTTTTCATATGATCTAGATCTGGATTGAATTCAAAATTACATGATACATGTACTATCTGTCTTTAGTGAATTCTTGATTTTAGAAGTCGATGATAGAGATCCTGGCTTATATATAGTGATCATTATTAATAGAAATGATGTTGATTTTTAACTAGTCTCATTTTTATTATCATGTATTATAATTGCCAATTTTTCACATACATGTAATTCATAAATTCAATTAATTATTTTTTTGGTCTGATATACTTGTGCTAGAATATTTACACTAGTCATGCTTTATTAATTACAGTATTATATGTTACTTCTAGGAATTTTCTATATAGTTGAACTGTTTATATTATCAAGAATCTTTACTATTGTGTATGACCATTTTTTGTTGGTATTGAGTTATAGACTACTATTTGTTTCATGATACCTTTTTGATATTGGTCAAATTGGATTAAGAGTATGTTTAGGGGAAAGTTCAATTACTGAAGTTTAATTATTGTGAAGGAGAGAATGTGAAAGAAATTTAATTTATAAAAGCATGGCGTAACTTATTTTTTTAGTATATAATTGCTTCTATACACCGCATCAATGCTTTAGAAACTTTAGGAGCAATATTGACTCACCGTTTGAATCCAATATCAGAAAGAACGTATTCATCACATATTGATATGCATGAATTGTTGTTACATTATCACAAGTACTGTTACCGTAGTACATGTAACAATAAATCCCTTAATTCCGCAATAATGCTCAACTAATTTCTACATGAAAATCCTACCATAAACACTTTGGCGATCCCCCACGAAGATCCAAATTATTCAGTGCCGATCGTATTGTCAACCAGAATAGGAAATAATTCATTACGAATACATTTTCTTTCACCTTCACCGTCGTTCGTCAATACTTTAACAGATCAGTGTTGATTATCTGAAAGGAGACGATTATCAATAGCAGAGAAACAATTTCAAGTCTTTCTAGAAGAATCACAATCGAAGAAAATACTAGCGACCAAGCGAGAACAGCAAGACATACCGTAAAAGTTGCGGTTGGTGTAGCATGACCTTAGAATTAACCTGAAAACTGTATAAATAGAAGTAGTGTAAAGAGTCTGTGAAAGACATGCTTTGATCAAATAAAATAACAAAGTTCTTACCTGTAATAATAATATTACTCGTGAATACACTATTATTTTATTATTTCTGGTCAACTTCAAATCTTGTAAGCAAGTTACAAGTAGTGGATGCTCCTCCACTCTAAATAAGCCGTCGATTGTATTTCTTGATATTATTGTTAGTTTGATTTTTCTTTGTCCAGGCCGTATCAATAAGTCTTGTTGAATTGTTTTTTTGAATTGCTTTGTTAAATAGGCCGTACCAATAAGTCCTATTGTGTTATATTAATTAAATTGATATTTGGATTATTCCCTTTTTTACTATACTATTGTTTTCGCCCCCTTACCTTTTTTAACGTCGATTTGTGTACAAGTCGCCACGGGAAGCCTTTATAACACCCAAAGAAACCCCTTACTCGTAAATAATTCAGTCCAGCTCTCATCCCAGTTGCGTAAAATCCCCTCTTTGACCGATTAAAATAGTATTATGCAACACTACACAACACACACTATCGGAAAATCTGGATATAGAAAGGAGTATGCTACACAGTCGGTAACCATAATTTCAATTACTTTTCTTCTTTTTCAACTCTTTTCCATTCTTCTAACCTTTATCACTTTCAACAACAGCACGACACACAAGCTTTCGCCGTACCTGGTACAAACAAGAATACGAACAGCATGCACGAGATCGTGCTCGTCGTGTACAACAGCTAGAAGAGGAGGAAGAGCAAAAAACGTAAAAATCTAAAACCTAAACCAGCTGACGATGTTTTGGATGAAGAGACAGTTATGCTCGATGCTAACTTGAATATGACCCAGTTAGTTCAAAGCACTAGTATTGCGATTGTGTGATGAAGGATAGTGTCAATTATTTGGATCACATTAATGAAAAAAATGCGAGTATTTGTTCTATGCGTGTGAGCTTATTTGATGTGGATTTGTCGTTTATATTGTACTTGCAATTGATAGGGACATAAAAGATTGGATGAAAATAATTAATTTTTTATTCCCTTTTCATAAAGATCAAAGAACACTAGTGAAAGTAGAGCATATTGCATTGGATCAAGTACAAAAACGACTGGCTCATCTAAAAAAAAAAAAACAAAAAAACAAAAGAAGAGAATATGATTTCGAGGCGCGTGTCGAACAAATGCATCAGCAAGAAGAAGAGGAGAAACAGAAACGAAAAGAAAAATGCAGCTGCAGACAATAAGGGTAATGAGGGTGAAGGATTGGATCCGGAAATGGCAAAGTTGATGGGGGGGGGTAAATTCGTATTATTATTATTTTTTGAATATGTTATTGCTGAATAATGCGTTGCTAAATTATTAGCATTATTGTTAAAAAAAAAAGGTTCGGAGGATTTTGAACAACAAAAATTTGAGTGATAAAAGGTTCCCTCCAACAGCATGTAATATCAAATACTACATCGCGTCCTTTTACAATTTTTGTTAATTTATTGACATCTACACGACTTTATCGAGTTACTCGATCAATTTCGATTTTCTGTTTCCAAAGTCACTTTCATTAATTATTCAGCATTCTTATTCCCCTCTTGAAGAATAATATTTGGTTTTATTTTTGAATATAAAATCAAATAAGTGACGTAATATTAAATTGTGCTAGAAAGTTGACGTTAAACATGCATTTTTTACATATATCGAATTTCTATTGTAAAACCTAGGATATTTGTTGTAACTATATTTTTCTTCCAATTAAGCCTATACAATATGGTAATTTCAAAACATTTAAGGACTTGTATAATAATAGTCTTTTTGCTGATTTGCTGATTTCTATTTGAAACTCATTCGATCTAAAGAGGGGGTGAGTCGCTCTGAGGTTGATCCAAATGACGACATTATGACGTTAGCAGAAAAAGTGAGAATCTGCTTTAAGTCGTGAATATGAACTTTATTTTTTTTTTGAAACTAAACAAATGTCTTTTCCATCAAGATTGCAAATTTGATCCGTCCACACTTAAAATATCAAGACCCGCAAATTAGTGTACAAGCGAATATCTTTCCGGACAAAACATAGCATTACTCAGCTAGGAATAAAGTACGCATAGAAAATATTGTCAGATTTTTCTTAGTCTCACGAACTCGTATCGTATCTTTTTAGTCATGGTAATCTTATATACATAACTTTTGAGGACGGAGTGAAACCAGGCACTTCAGCATTTTCTGCTGGTAAACAGCCAGCATCAACAGTAGGACCATTTGAGCCAACAACGAATACCAGTTCATCATCAGCATGAGTGTAAAGCAAGCGGCTGTGAATGATTATCGAGAGAAACATGCTCCGAAATTGTACGCGTTAATTGTGTGCGTGCGCGTCGATCTTAAGTAGAATACATGTATAATATTACGGTATTAATGTTGCAACTATTAACGTTAATTACGGTATCGGTATCGGTATCGGTAGTACAAGTCGTAATATATACCGTAGGGATTATGTGTGTAACATCCAATCAAATTCAAGCCGCTATGCTGTGTACGTTTGTATATCGATTAAAATAGAAATCATGAAATCGATTGCAGAACACAAATAATTTACACACAAACAACAACAATACGTATTAACGTTAACATCTCGTTTATTTCAAAGTTTTACATTTTTATATAAAACCTTTTATAAAATGAACTCAAAGATGGAATCTAACACTCATGATTGTAGTGAATGCTGGTATTGTTACATTGATCGTTATTGCGATGAATGTTCAGATCACAACACTCATGATTGTGGTAAATGTACTCGTTGTCGAAAAAATTGGGACTGTTATGAATGTAATGAATATCACAAACGAATTTATCAAGCTGAATGGTCTAGCGAAAACAAAGATATTGATAGTCTAATAAAAGAATGCGCGGAAATTGAACCATCTTTCGAATGGATCCCTTTTGAAAGATTCACCAATGTTGAATATATTGCAAGAGGTGGTTTTGGATTAATTTATAAAGCAACCTGGTTGGACGGACCAATTTGTAAGTGGGATCACAGGGAAAATAAATTTAAGCGAAGTAAAGAACACAAAGTTGTGTTGAAATCATTACGTGATTTAAAACAAATTACATTAGAGTTTATAAACGAGGTAAGATGAACAATTTCTAAAGTGTAAGAGTAAGTCGCGTTTTTGTTTTCTAATACAATCAAATTTTCAAAAATAGATTGTGACTGCTCTAAGGTGCATTGTTTACGATGGAAGAACTTACCATGGAATAACTTACTATGGAATAACTAAAAACTCAGCTATAAATGAATACTCTATAGTGATGACTTATGCAAAAGATGGCGATCTTTACAAATTTATTGATTCTAACTATCAAGAATTGACTTGGAAAGAAAAATTAGAACATTTGTATACTATTATCGGAGGGCTGAAAACAATTCACGAAGAGGGATTTGTACATCGTGACTTTCACCCAGGAAATACATTGATAGTAAATCGTATTGCTCAAACTGCTGATTTTGGACTTTCCGGACCAACGGATATAGAAAAATCCAATCAAAAAATTTACGGAGTCCTTCCTTATATTAGCCCAGAAGTACTAAATGGAAAACCATACACTAAAGCTGCAGATATGTATAGCTTTGGAATGGTTATGTACGAAATTATAACTGGTGAACGACCATTTGGTGAGCGAAGTCATGATATAGGTCTTGTAATTGACATCCATAAAGGAGTACGACCTGTGATACCAAATAATGTTCCTAAATTATTCAAGTTCATTATTAAAAAGTGTTGGGATCCTATTCCAGAAAACAGACCAACTGCTGAGGAATTTCAAAACTTTATCAGTTCTATTAACTATCCAGCAAGCTACTACGAATTAAATACTTTTCATTTTCAGTATTATGACTCTAAAACACAAGAAGAAATTAAAGAGTATCTTAAATCAGATAGACAAACATTAAGCAAACTTGACGGCAGGATGCAATACATTCCTACAAATATAAGCGAAAAACAACAAATTCACCCAAATGCAGTTTACACCAGCCGAACCTTTACTACGAAATTAGTTTTAATTCCAGATGATACAGGTACTTTCTATTTGAAATATAAATCACATTTGATCTGTCATCTAAAATTTATTTTGGATATTTAGGTTCTACAAGTGTCTGTTTGTATGTACCAAACGAAGGTAAGCTTATATTTAATATTATTTTTTTATTAATTCTTTAATTCATTACCATTTTCTTTGGCGGTGCAAAACAGATTTAGATGAAATCAAAAAGGATGAAGAGATATCGGGCGCCTTACAAGAAAAACTACAAATTCACGACGAATCCCTTGCAAAATAATAAGACAATTTATAAAGAAGAACGCTGCTCTTTGTTACAAGAAATTGGTAACAAGTTTACTTTTAATAGTCTAAAACATTAGATTCATTGAATCGATATCAGCTGTGTTTTGAGTCGCGCAGCGACAGAAAGCAGTTTATAACTCTCAATTTATTTTATTCGAATCCATTTCTTTTAGGTGTATTTAGAGTATACATGTACAAAGTAAAAATCACCTCTTACGTGTATAACAAAAATCATTTTTGCAACTTTCTTGATCTTAACGCGATTGACAAGATATTTTATCGAATGACATGTAACTTTTAAAGGAAAACAAATGCTGTCATTTTCGTGTTTGCAAATTGTCATCGTTCTTATTATATTTATCAATATAGCAATTAACTCCAGTATTTTTTTTGAGTTTACATTAAAACAATAGTTAATTTCTTCGATATCTGCCTATATCGATATTCGTTAATATTGCCTAGTCAAAAAATTTGAAGTTTTGGTTGATATGTTGTCTCTCTTCAATTATGAATTCTCAGAATGATGACAGTAAATGTATTCCATTTAAATGTAGTGTAGTATTAAAATGACTAATTAATTTTTCTAGTTGATGGTAAAACTAGTAAGCTGATTATGTTTTAAAGAATAAAGAATCATAAAGCCAACGATATATAAGTGTAAAAGAACTTTGATTGAAAAAAGATAACGATAATCTCTAATGTTAAGCTTTCCTTTATTGGCATGGAAATGACAATAATTTTTTTATCTAACTAATCGATACTCTAATAATTAAATATACACTTATTTTTTAGTTGTCACAAAATAAATTCAATATAGAAACTTCCAAAGCCTGCTACTCAAACTATCTTTGATATATTAATAGCGATATGTGCATAACGTCTAAAGTCATCAAATGTTTGTATTTTATAAAATGTATAAACTTCTCAACATTTAGTTTATTAAATTAGATAAATTAAATAATAATATTTTATTAGAATTAATCTGATATATTACAAAATATAATATTCAAAGTTATTATATCAATTTTTTAGTTTTTCTGTTCAAAATTAAAATAATTGTACTTTTCATAATTTATTATTATTTAATTATCTAATTTTAATAAATTAAATAAAAGTTTAATGAATTATAAAATATCATGTACAAAAGTTATTGTACTAATTATATTATTTTGAATAAAGAAAAATCTACTTTAAATTGATATAATATACTTGGAATGTGATATCTTATAATTCATTAAACCATTTCTGAAAAAAATTCATCTTTAAATTTGTCTAGTCTTGGCAAATTGAATAGTAATATTTATTTAGAATTGGTTAATTATGAGATATTAGTTCATTTTAATTTTAGACAGAAAATAATGGAATTGGTGTAATCTCAATAACTTGTAATACATCAAATCATTCTAATAAAATATAATTATAGTGATATTTTTATTAGAATTGGTCTGATGTGTCACAAGATGTCAAGTTCCAAATTTATTATATCAATTTTTTTCTATTCTAATTCTATTTAATTTATATTCCAGGAATTTGACAATTAAGGTGAAAATTTTCTTAATAAAAATTGGATGAAATTAGTAGAAAAAGAACAAATCTATTAGAGTGATTTGTCTTTTTACTACTGAATGCACCCCCATATGCAGAAACAAAAAATTAGATTGGATAAATTATAAAAATACATTGTTAATTATGGTTATCCAAAGTAGCCAAAGTGCACATATAAAAAAAAAATCGAAGCTGGTATATTAAAAAATTGTGAAAATATAGAGCCTGATTGGTCAGATTAATTATTACATAATATCGATATCTACCGCTAGTTTCAAAATTAGTATCGCTATAGTTCGAATAAACATATCATTCAAAGTACCCATCATATTTTATTTTGTTATGGTTATATTAATTTAATAATACAGTACATGTGTATACATATCTATTTATTCTTGCGGCAAAAATTTTATAATGATAACGATAAACCTCATTGGTAAATGTCGATATACAGATTTTTAAGAAATAATAAATAAAAACGAGTTTTTTAAAATAGAAATGAACTCGTAAATTAATCCTTTGGAAGGTGGAATCAACGTCCACCAAATTCCTCTGGGATGCGTGCGAAACGATTTTCTTCGAGGCCAAATGTTGGAATAAACTTTTTTCGCAGAACTACAATAATATAATAAAAACATTGTAAATCTTTTGAAATTAATTATCGTTATATTGAGAAGCAGCAAATAACACCTACCTTCAACTCTTCCGGGAGGATAAGTATCCTTTATTCCATTAGAATTTAAAAAGGCTTTTAAATTTTCTGGGTACGGAGCGCCAACATGAAACGACTCGAGCTTAATTTGCAAGTTTTCCAAGAATATACGAAATATAGCTATTGACATCTGATGTCCGTTAATATTGATTCTTAAATGCCGCAATGTTGGTGGAGCAGTTTTCGCGATTTTCGTCATCATTTCAAGATTACTATTTCCATGCGCGCAAAATATGAAATCAATTAGGTTTGGACAAGCAGATAGAATTCTGCCAGTATCCACTTCATGTAAACCTGACAATTCTAAAAATTTCAATGTTTGTCCATTGGTAATCAAAGAGTCGATAATTTCTTGATGCACCATGGTATCCCAAGATAAAGGATTCAAAAAAAGAAACTCAAGTTTGTTTCCGCTCGTTTCGAGCACCGTCTTCACAATTTCAGTTGGCATTGTTCGACGTTCTGATAAACAAGCAAAATATTTCAAATTTTGAAAGGTTTTGACCGCCTCGATTAATCCAAGTGAATCACAATGTAAGCAATATTCTAGATCAACTGCTCGTAAATTAATGCAAGCTTTCAATCCTTTGATTGCTCTTTCGTCGATAAATTCAAAATCTAATTTAAAAAAACACAATGTTCTAATTGACTTTCCAATTACAGCTAGTGATGCCAAAGCATCCCAACATCCATTACGAGAAAGGCAGAGATGAGCTAAATTTTTTTGTTTTTTGATGAAGTTCGCTGCGAATTCTTGATCGTTATTACTGAACATGCTGCTGTCAATACGGAAATGTGTAATTTCCGTCATCTTTTCAGTCATCGGTTTCCAAAGGTCTTGACTTAAATAGTTACCCTTAAAATGAAGTTTTCGGATATTCTTGAGAGGTTCATCGACTCCATCGAACTCGGGGAAAACAAAATTGCTTTTTGAAATTTCAGCAAATTGAGCTTTATATATTTCGATTATCAATTCATCCAAGGAATCAACAGATTGTAAAATTAAAGTCAGAATTTCACGTAAGACTTCAGAGCTTTTAATTTTATCTTGAATGTCTATTTTTATTTTACTTGGTGTTAGCCATGCATTAATAGAATTGGAAATATCGCCAAATCTTAAACGTTTTAGAAGAGAAGGGTATTCAAAAATTGTAGATCCAATGCAATCAGAAATTTGGTTAATGCCAGCTTCCTTTAAACGACAACGAGCCGATTCAGGTAAGGATCTCACATAAAGTTGAATAATTGTTGGCGATGGTCCTTTTTCAAATGGATCTCGCCAAAGTATTGGAATAACAGTGCGACACCACTGTCGATTCACCAAAAGACATGAAAATAACGTTTGCAGATCGCGAATATATTTGAATATTTCCTGGAGGATTTCAGTAGCGAGTATTGGAGATGATGAATTTTTTTTGGTTGATGCCATTAGTTTAGTTTAAAAACGATAACGATTTTTGTCGTTGATGTATTTATACGTAACAATATACATGTACACAGCCTCCTTGAACACAAACTAAAAATAGATTTACTGCGTCGATTTGCCAAACTTTCCAAGCTTTATAAAAAACACGGAATCAATAACTGATTAAAGCCAAGAAACTTGTCTTTATTTACCCATTATAGATAAAGAAATATTTAGATTAGCCATGTATTATCGTTATGATATAAAAAACAGAAATAGTAAATAGAAAATGTAAGATAAAAGAAAAAGGATAAAATATAAAACAATGTAAACTAGAAAATAGAAAAAAGTAAATAAATATACATTAAAATTGAGGACCAGTGAAAATATACTATCGCTATCGCTAATAGCGATAGTAAATTAATCTAAATTCACGGCCAAAAGTTCTGCATCATGAAATTTTTGCGAAAAAAATCTGGTGCTTCAAACCCCGTAGTTTCTACCGCTACGTATACTTATTTTAAAGCTAATAACCTTAAAATTTTTGGAATATATAGATATATATAATATTATTACTACTATTTTAGGGAACTAAGACGAGTTTTTTTAATTGATCCTAAATATTTTTTCTAAGGCAAATACCAGAAAAATCTAACTAATAAAAAATATTCTCCTTTACGAAAACTACCTATCGATACATACGGATTTTTAGTGTCAACATTACACACATGTAGATTTTTTATTTTTTTTTATATGTAATGTTGACATTCAGAAGCTTGTATCTCAATAGCAACATTCTGATTTAGCTAAAAATCTGTATGTAGCGATAGGTAGTTTTCGTAAAGGAGAAATTTTTTATTAGTGAGATTTTTTCGGTATTGCCTTGGGGAAAAATATTTTGGATCAATTAAAAAAAACTCGTGACTTAGTTTTCTAAAATAGTAGAATAATATTTTTTATATTATTTAAAACCAATGTTGATTCCTGAATTTACTTAATTAATATAATATTTTAGCTTGTAACTAGTGTTTCTATGAACTGAACTCGAACCAGACTTTGGCTTGAGTTTAAGAAAGGTTCAAAGTTTGAACTGAACACAAACCTAACCATTGTATGAGTTTGAGTCTGGTTCGAGTTTGGTTGAAGATCGGCATACAAACCAGAGTCTTGGAATACTCAATTACGTATCAACTTTACATGATATTTATCTTCAGGCTGTATCTCGATTTCTGGATCAAACTATACGCAATTTTTGTTATTTACATCTAAATTTTATGTACATTCTTCATACTGGGAATTTTACCAATCGATAAGAATGGAAATTGTTCTAGTACCGATTGGATAATCTGATCTATAATGTCATGCTTCCCTTTGATAATTTGTAAAAATCATGTAAAGAGAACTCCAGAGTTTGATATCTGAAATGGGGACAGGATGTTAGCAGATTTTACTTGAGGCATGACAAGTGTCTGAATTTTTTTTCGGAATTAACAATCTCAGAATTTCAATTGTGAACTCGATCCAGATGATCCGGAGGATTGATGCTCTGCATCTACTACTTTAGAGAACCACTACTGTCTTGACGAGAGTTTTTTGGAATTTGATTTTCAAATTTTCAGTCATATAACTTTGATTATGATTCGGGTCATAGTTTTCGAAGAAAAATAATCTATTATAGACTGAATTTATGAATTAATATGATTTGATATTTCATTTGCACTATAAGATTTAACTCGTCAAATTTTATCTATTCTTATTCCGACTTCCCTAAATAGCCTATAAATTTTTATGACTTTTTGAGCTCTCTTGCGTAAATTTCTCAAGTAATACCAGAAAGATGCCATATAACTTTATTCCAGATGCAATAAGATACGAAGGCAAGCTTATTTGTAATGGCGGGAGTTAAAAGTCTATGCTCTCTCCAAAATATGAACCTTCGTGCAGCAATTTATGGAATGTTCGGTTATGTATTGTGATCATGCGTTTTGTTTTTGGATTATATATTTCCAATTGGTATGATATTATGGCGAAAGGATAAATGTATTGTAGTATAAAGAAAATTTTATCATCTTTCAAATTATTTTATATACGAGTCACAAAAATAGAACATAGATTTCACATTTATACACAAAAATAAAATTTAATCATATATTCTCTTAGAATTATCTAGAAATCTTAATTTTGACCAGTAATTCGGGTTGCCGATGACCCGACCTGAAAAATGCGGGTCGGGTTAGACAGTTGACCCGACCCGTTCAGAACGCTAAGTATAATCTCCTTACCAAAATAGAACTATTAGCAAATATTAACGTTCTTCCATCGTGCAACCAGTTTCCATATCATTTGAATGGGAAGGCTTGATGCTTTTGGTAATTTCATCTCCTTAGCCAGTTCTTTCCACTTCTGCACTTCTAATTAAGGATATTTTAAGTGCTATAGTATTAAAAATGCAAGGTATTCAGTTTACTCTTATCTGCTAAATAGAGCGAGTACCGTATTTTGCCGTGTATAAGCAACACACCTGTAAAAAATTTAAATATAAAAATTAGGTAATCTAATTTAGAAATAGAAAAATTAATCATTTTTCTACAAAATGAACAAACAAGATTCATAGTACAATTTCATTGGAATTTTTGTAATCAAATTAATAACTTTAAGATTATATGTATCATATTTTGCTGTTGTAAGCAACTCCCCTATAGAAACCTAAACCTCAAGTTATTAATTTAGTAACAAAAATTTTGATGAATTGTACTGTGAATCAAGTTTGTTCATTTTGCAGAAAAATAACTGGTTTTTCTAAAATTAAATTGGCTAAATTTTTAAATTTTTCACAGGGTGATACTTATACACGGCAAATAGATCGGATAAAGTCTTCAAGTCCCTCAGCAGTTGGTCTATTTTTGGAATAGGATCCCAACATTTTTCAATAATAAATTTGCACCATCCGGAAACATTATTTGGTATCATAGGTCTTAGATGTCGTATATAAGATGTATTTCATGACTTCATTCACAAATCATCCCAAACTATAAATATCTGCATGACTTTTCATTTATACCTCGTTTTCCAATTCAAGAACGTGATAATACAATCTGTGCTCAGTTTCATGATTACATGTACATGACAAATCAATAAGAATGCGCAAATTTTTGATTAGCTAGGCAAAATCAAATCTGACACAAAAAAAATGAAAAATGTGAAGCTTCCATAAATCATACTTTCATTATTATATGTAAAAATGATTTAGTTTTGTAATTTGTCATGATCAGGCAAAAATCTAAATATAATAAAATATATAATCATAATTAGTTATATATCTAGTTATATTGTTACAGTAGTAACATAAAAATCATTAATTTCAAAAATAATTGATAAATACAAAATATTCAAAAATATTCATATAACAAGAATCCTTCTAAAAAAAATTACTTTT